GCACCTGCAGTTCCAGCTACTTGAAAGACTGAGGTGGAAGGATTGCCTGAGCCCAGTGGCCATAAGCTTGCCATCGCACTCCACCGTGGGCGACAGAGTAAGACTCCAACACATGCCCAAAAAAAAGAGCTCCCAGCATAGAAGGAAAGACAGATACAGCTTGTGCTTTGTATCACTCTCACCTTCTCAAGGATACTATTGATTTATTTATTACAGCAGTCTCCAGCAACAATCTCTTTCTACTGATCATTCTCCTCATTATAGCCATACACTTTAATATCTCTCATTCTAAACACAAACATAAATCAACTGTAATTGCTCAGGATACCCTAGCTATGTACTATGTATCAGTTGATAGCTGAGCTTCTCTAAGAAGTTGTTTACAAATGCTACATCTATTTTCCTACTTCTGAGTTCATCCCTCAGTCACAGCCATCTGCCTCTCCCATTCAGACCTCTAGAATTGCTCTCATCAAGGGGCCGGTGTCCTCCATAGTGTCACTCCACTGAATGCCTCTCTGCCCACAGCTTGCTCAGTCCCCAGGATCATTGTGGGCAGCCACCCACTCCTTAGTACTGGTTTTCTTGCAGCAAAAATGATTTTCATAAAATGTATAAAGATACATGTTGCACTTCTACTTACACATTACAGGTGCTTCCCAGAGAAACACCACTAAGTCCCAAATTCTTTATCATGAGGCTCTAATTCAGCTGGCCAACTCCTAGTTCCAGCCTCCTCTTGCACCACTCCTCTTTCCCTCCCATCTTTGCTCTTTATCACACTTCAGCCAAAGTGGTTATCTTTCAGTTTCTCAGAGATACCAATCCCTTTCTATGCAGAAGAAATAGCATGAGAAAACGCCCTGAGAAGAAAATGTATCTGTCCCCTATTTATATGGCAGGCTCCTTTTCTTTCATTAGGTCTGTTCAAGCTATCATGGCCACAGGGAGCCTTTGGGAGACAGAAGTTTACTCTTTATTTTAGTCCCATCTATCTCCCTCACAGCCTTTACTCAAATCCAGTTACTTCCTATATGTATTTTCCTCTTTGGTGGGTGGGGGAGGGGTCCTCAAGTTAAAACGTAAGTTCCAAGTGGGCAGGAACCACGTTCACTCCTGGGCCCTAATACTTAGCCAAGCATAAAGCAGAAACTCAGTCATACTCATTGAATGTACAATTAGAACATGATATGATGTGTGTTATACAGGAAGTATTTACAAAAGTTTTATGGGACATGAGTGAAGAAACTCTTTACAGATGAGAGGATACCTGAGCTATGTCTTTTGGAACAGGAGTTTGTCAAGGTTAGAGTTTATATAAAAGGTGTTGAAAATATGAAAGAACCTGACTGTGTTCAATAATAGGTTAGATTATGGGATAGAAAAGCAATGGTCTTCTATGTCTAGGCTACACAATTTAGATTTTGAAGACTAACTATCAGATTTTAAATAGTTTGCAGATACTATTTGAATTATGAAAAGATACCTGTGGCAGTAAAAAGATTTGCTAACAAGGCAGAGAGATGAGCTAGAAAGATGCTACACGAGGCTGGGCTCGGTGGCTCAGCCTGTAATCTCAGCACTTTGAGAGGCTGAGGCAAGTGGATTGCCTGAGCCCGCGGGTTCGAGACCCACCCGGGCAACTTGATGAGACCTGGTCTCTACAATAAATCAAAAATTAGCCGGGCGTGGTAGCGCATGCCTGTAGTTCCAGCTACTTGGAAGGCTGAGGTGGAAGTATAGCTGGAGCACAGCAGGTTGAGGCTGCGGTGGCTGGGAGCATGCCACTGCACTCCAGTCTGGGTGACAGAGAGAGACTCCTATTCAAAAAAAAAAAAGATGCTACATGAGAGGAAGTGAGACTGTCTGAGGTGGTGGAAATGAAAAAAAAAAAAAAGGGGGAGAGGACCAGGTTAAGGGATATTAAGATAGTATGACAAGCTGGGAGCGGTGGCTCACACCTATAATCCCGCACTTTGGGAGGCCATGGTGAGAAAATTGCCAAAGCCCATGGGTTCGAGACCAGCCTGACAACTTGGCGAGATCTCATCTCTACAATAAATCAAAAAATTAGCTGGGTGTAGTGGTACATGCCTGTAATTCCAGTTACTTAGAAGACTGAGGCAGAAGGATCACCTGACCTCAGCAGGTCGAGGCTGAGGTAGCAGTGAGCATGCCACTGCACTCCAACCTGAGTGACAGAGTGAGACTCCAACACACATACACAAAAAAAAGATAGTATGACAAAAGCATATGTGACAGTAAGGACCAAAAGATCAACATGGCTCAGATTTTAACCTGTACGACTATGGATGGCAAAGCCATTAATTAAGACAGAATATAGAATATGAGCAGATTTTAGAGAGGAAAGCAAGGATTTCAGTTTTCAGACATACTGAATGTGAGGTGCTTGGGGATATCCCTGTGAAGATGTTCAATAGGTAGCCAGGAGGTAGGAACGAAGAGTACAGTGGAGGTCATAGATTAAGAAAACAATATAGGCTGGGCACAGTAGCTCATGCCTATAATCCCAGCACTTTGGGGAGGTGAGAGGATTGCCTGAGCCCACAGGTTCAAGACCAGCCTGGGCAACTTGGCAAGACCTCATCTCTACAATTAAAAAAATAAAATAAAATAAAAAATTTAAGAATTAGCTGGACATGGTGGCACATGCCTGTAATTCCAGCTACTTGGAAGGCTGAGGCAGAAGGATTGCCTGAGCCCAGCAGGTCGAGGTGCCAGTGGCCGTGAGCATGTCACTGCACTCCAGCCTGGGTGACAGAGTGAGACTCTGATTGAAAAAAAAAGACAATATATAGGTAGTAACTGCTTCACTAGAAAAAGAGATCACTCATACTGTTTAATATTTGCCTGAAGATTTTAACAGGAAGTTAAATGGAAGATAGAAAATATTATTCTTATTCAGTGTTCTCAGGGAAGGAAAAATGGGAGCATCCAAACCAAAAATAAAACTGATAATTTCCACCCAAAATCCTAGAATATTAAACAAATAAAGCTGCATTTTAAAGAAAATGCAGATTCTAATATTGCTCTGAAGTGTCTTTATAGTTCAGGGTTTTATAAGCTCTTGCTAAGCAAGGTTGTACTTAATAACTTTCTTATTTCATCAGTGTTAATTTGGAATGAAGGGAGGGCATTATAAGGAAAGACAAGAACAAAGTCACATTAGTAAAATGCAGTTTAAGGAAAATGAGTTGTAGTTATTGCTAATTCATCATTACTCCAGAGAGTTCTCTGGTGGCTTTAAGGATGATGTGGAAACCATTCCTAAGAAAGTTCTGCTTCTGGGTATTTCCCCAATACCACTATTGATTCACTCCTCACCTCATTCTACCACCTTCTGTGACCTACACTTCTCCTCCACACAAGTGAGTGTATGACCAGAAATCAGCCGAGCTTGCCTTTAAGACATCTCATACCTGAAGTTCTAGCCAGGCAGGAGTCAGAGTTCACCCCTTCCACTCCATTAAAATAAGGTTAGGGACTCAGAAACCAGCTACCCTGATAATCAGAGGAGCACATTCTTCGGAAAAAAGGAAACCCAAGGTGAACAACCAGCAAGCATAGGGCCAGACCGTCTATTCTAGCAAGTTCAGCTCCTGCAATTCAAGAATAGGACTGAGACCAGTGAAGAGCTGTGAAAGGCACCAACCGGCCTTCCTAAGGCCAAACAGATTGTAAGGGAGTTTTATCCCCATTAAGCCACTTTCAGTCACTCAGAAAGTTTAAAAGACTGGAAGGCTAGGCCTTCCTGCTACTTTGTCTCTTAATTTGTAGGCAAGGCATCGTAGGAACATGTTCCATGAAGGGCTATTATCCCCAAAATTACCCTCCAACTCCCAAAAGGCAAGGTGCACACATGTCCATGTGGGGCCTTCTGGCCTCCCCTGTAGACACGCCAGCCCACTAGGAAAGCAATGGGAATCGAATTTTCTGTCATCTGTGTATCACCCTCTTCCATCAGGAAGGTAATTTGACTATGAACTATTATTATTTTTTTTTTTTTT